TCTGACCATGGAAATATACAGGGAGTGTTCCTCTGGTGAGCAAACTCCCAGGAGGCAACTGACACTCTGTTTCCTACCTTTAGAATGCCCTGCAGTTTCTCCTAGGAACTAGTAAGATAACTAATCCGTGTGCTATGTCTAGCTGCTGTGGCAATGCCACTAGAGTCTTATCAGCCTTGACCTTGATCTCAGGCACACTGCTCCTGGGAATAGAGGAATTCTCTTGTTAGACAATCACAATGTTTTACTGAGCCTAAACCTGTCCATATAACAGTAACTTTATACAATGGACTTTCTTGAGAGCTACACAAAGCTTCTAACATTGCAATATTGCAACTTAGTATGTAACGGAGGAATAAGCTGCATAATGTTGCTAGGTTTGTAACTTGCCTAGTGATATAATGAACAATATGTACTAATGATACCAATGACCTAAAGTAACTTATTGATATAAATAAAGCTTGGCAGCTTGCCTCTCGGCCATTCTGCCATCTTTCCTGCCTCTGCATCTTGTCTCTGTGTCTCTGTTTTTATTTTTCTTACAACATTTTGTCTAAGATTTTCATAAAATGCTGAGTAGTATAGATGCCAAAAAGCAGATCAGTGTTTCTCTCCAGGGATAAACATAGGAAAGAACTGCAAGGAGACCCAGGGAATTTTCTAATGCTCATTTCAATGTATATTTTGATCATAGTAATAGATTCAGGGTGTATACAAGTATTAAAATGCAAACAATTTTGCATTTTAAATTGATATAATTATCTTATGTAAATTATTAAGAAGATAAAGTAAGGCCCCTTTCCACACAAAACAGAGTTAGGCATAAAATAAAGCAGAGGTACCCACATCCAGAATATTCATCAAGCAGAAAATAGCATGGAATAGAGCCAGGTTATCTTGGAGAACATAAAAAAAACTGAAGATCCACAAATATAGGCATGATCTAGGATGGAGTTAAAAACATGAAAAGGAATTGAAAGCTTAATAAGTTTCTCTAATTTAAAAAAAATAAATTCAGAAATAAATTGTCGATTTTTTATTATAAGATGATTTAGTCTATTCACTCCATTATCTCAGCTCCTAAGTCCCAGATTGCCTGCATATTTTAGTATTTAAAAATTTTCATTGGTTAGTTTTGAGGCTTTTAGTAATATCCTATCAATTTTCTCTTTTGTTTCATTAACAACAAAAACCTTTTTGGACTCTCCACTATGTAAAATGAGGATATTTACATATCTGTTAATCTGCTAGATTCCTTTTTGCCTGTATTTCAGAATTTTTACTTTTACATTATTGAGGTTGATAGCATTTTCCCCTCCACCATATTGGGGATTGAACCCAGGGCTTTTTGTTTTTTAGGTTACCCACTGTAAAAAAAAAAAAAAAAAAAAAAAAAAAAATTATTAACCACATGCCCTTAAGTAAATGAATGGATAAACTATGGCACATCCAGACAATGGACATGTATTCATCACTAAAACGAAGTAAGTTATCAAGTCATGAAAAAATGTGAAAGAGCCTTAAATTAATATTACAAACTAAAGAAGCATGTCTGAAAAGAATACATACTATATGATTCAAACTCTATGACATCCGGAAAACACAAAACAATTGAGATAGTAAAAAGATGATGATTTCTCAGATTGAAGGGAGAATGAGGAATGAATAGATGAGTACAGAGAATTTTTTGGAGGGCAGTGAAACTGCCGTGCATAAAACTATATTGGTGGAACACACTCATTGTACATTGATCTAAATCCACAGAATGTACAATAGCAAGAATGAACCTTAATGTAAACAGTGTTTTTTTCTTTGGTGACAATGAGGTGTCAGTGTAGGTTAGCTCTAAAAATAAAAGCTGTTTAAAAAAAATTCAATGTAAGTAACTGATACTTTTTAGTAAGTATTTATTATTGGGTGGTCTTGACTTCCTTGGGTGTACACTGCCCATTTTTACCATGAGGATAGAAACATTGTCTGTCACAGAGGGTTGTTGAGAGAATTAATAAAATGGAACATCTAAACCATAGAGTGGCTGTCATGTAATATACTCTAATTCATCATTTTTGTTGTTCTTGATGCTAACTAAGGTGGTTATAAATAATATGAACTTGGTACTATGTAAAAATGGTATGAAAAGTGTATAGTCTGAATTTATAGATTGCTGTATAATTGATTCCTCTTACACTCAGAGATATTGGCACAGGAGTGAAAAAAATATAATTGGTAGGGTTTCCCATGATTTTCAAGGCTGAATCCTGATCAAGGGGAACTGAAGACAATGAGGGTTTGAGCATGTTCAACTGACATTCTTGGTTTTAAGGTCTAGGATCAACCTGGAGGAAAGTGTAATCAGAGACATCCTGATGAACTGAAAGACCAGGAGTCAATGGTAGGATATATATATATGAATGAGGAGTTCAAAGAAGGAAATAAAAGTTGGTTTTAGAACATGAGCTTTTGGAGTTAGATTTTCAATGGTTTAGATTGGAGCATGAGAAGTCCCAGGTGTGGCAGACTTTGGGAAAAGATAAATGGAATTTCATGAAAGTTGTTACAATTGGGCACTGTGAGGCTATACTGCCTTATATTTTGAATTCCCAGCAAAATTGATAAGCAATGGGAGGAAAGGAAAAAAAAGCTTATGACCCTTGGCCTTTGAATTTTAGGTCTATAGATAGCATGGTTTCCGGAAAGTTGCTATAAAGAAAATGGTACAGATTTCAAGAGGGAAGGGATTTTGAAGTCATAGAGGGCAAAAGTCTACAAGTTGTCATAAGAAAGGAAGAGAACCAGCTGTCCTCCTGGTTCCATGGCACAGAAGAGAGATGACTCTGGCTTTCATCCAGGCTTCTTAACCTGCCATGGAACTATTTCATTTTCCACATTACACCCTCCCCATCCCCGTTTCATCTCTATGAGGCTTGAAGGAATTTGAAGGCCTTCACAGGAGCCTAGATTTATGAAAGAGAACAGGTTCCTTAAGGATTGAACAGAAGAGGCATGGGTTTGTATCTTAAAATGATCCTCTTAAGATGTAGACTCAACTCTGAAGCCACCATTAGTAACTGACTGAGCTGTCAGAGGTAGAAGCACTTAAGTAATGAGTCATGTCTTAGCAATTAGAATGGAATTATTTGTAGGACAGTGCTAAAAATGACCTCATAAAAGATCTTTTTGTTTTCTTGACAATATCATTGACTTCTGTTGTGTGTATGTGTGTGTGTCCACAAACTTGTCTCTGAAGTACAAATATACAAACATGTCTTATCAAGTTGGGAATCCCGTTTTTAAAGAGATTTCTATTTAATAATAACTATCATTTCTCATGCCTAATAGCGGTGCTAAGATAAATACTGATGGAATTTTAAGAGAAACACAATTTGGTTTGAAACAGAATAATATATAAAACTAATCTGGAAACAAATATACTTTCTTTTTTGCAGACCTTAGTAAATATACCCAGACTAGTGTTTTAGTGCTTCCCAGCTTTAAGAGTGTGATTATTGAGGTCTGTTTAATACTTCTAAAGTGAGATTCTATAACGTGGCTATTGGTATTGCTATCAAAAAGCAAACATAACATTAGACACTAAAACGTTCACAGGACAGTTCCAAAATAAAAATATTAAGTGAACAGTATATTAAAAAGGATATTAACTGCCAGGAGAGCCAAAATACAGCTTTCTCCAAATCTTTATCTTACTTAGGGCTATAAATGTATGCATAAATGGATATAATGAGAAGTAATTTAACAGGACAAAGAAATCAATTTTTGGAGGCTATAATGTCTTGAAGCCTCTTTATTCTATAACCTTTTCCTTTTTAAGCAAGGATCGCTGACTTTTGGTCTTTTAAATTCACTTAGTTTTCAGACAGTATGATAATAACCAACTAGGCTGCTCTGAAAATTGGGGACAGTCCAGTCAAAATGAGTAAAATAGTGAAATTGGTCAAACTAAAATTTAACCATAAAATTCAAAAGCTTTAGAATAGAAAGTTCCTATATTTACTCTTCTTTATTCCTCTAGGATGACAGGATGAGTCTTAGTGTTTTATAATGCTTTTCTAAATGGAGCTTTTCAGGGAAGTAAGACTCTGAGAAGCTTAGTAATACCATATAGAAATCTTTTTTCTGCGCATTCTTTGACAAAGTCATGCATATGAGAGGTTTAATAAATTTTTTTAATGGCAGGTTTGATCCTGATAATCCAAATTTAAGGGAATACCTCACATAATTCTATTTGGGTTAATTGGGGGAAAATATAGCATTTCAATACTCAAATTCAATAGTAACTAGACTTATTAATAAACAAACTATAATAATATGATTATGGCTAATATTTTTTGAGCAGTTACTTTGTGTCAAGCACTTTAGTTCTCATACACAGCACCTCAAATAATCTCCACCAAAATTCTAGTGAGCAGGTGTTTTATTATTATCTCATTTTACCAAGAACCTGCAACCAGAGAGTGACTGTTGTTGGCTGGTTGAACTCCAGGAACTCAAGTTTTTAAGCAGCAAATTATAAAGCTTCTCTCATATTTTCCTGTGCATTTGACATATATGGCTATAGCTAACATAAATGTTCCTAATTTTCTAAATGTTATCATTTTATGTAATAGGATATATGACAATAATTCTAAAGTTATTGAATAAAAACAAAGTATCAATTTCCTTTTAGTCTTACAATCACAACTTAAGGCTTTGAGAGGATGCATTTATTTTTCATTTGTCAATTAGAAGAGAACTATTTTAGCATTCTATATATAATTGCATTATCTTTAATTATGTATTGAAGCCAAATTTTCCCTGTACTGAAGCATCTAATTTTAAGGCAATTTGAAAGCAAAAGATCTCCATTTAGCATAGTCCTTCTAGTAATACAAATTGCAAATTGAATGAATGACAAAGAGAAAATATTATGATGACATTAATATTACCTCAAAGGCAAAAATAATTGTATAACTAAGAGTATAGCTCAGTGGTAGAGTACTCACCTAACATGAAGAAGACCCTGGTTACATCCTCAGCAGCATCACCCCCTACTCCCAGAAACTCTGCTTCATGACTTCTGTGGGGTGGGGGTGGAGAGACAGTCATGTCCTGGTAAACCTATTGTTAAGTTGAAAATATACTCCTGTGTGTAACCTACTTGTGGTTTAGATATTAATTGTCTCTCAAAAGCTCTTGTGGGAGACAATGCATGAATATTCAGAGATGAAATGATTAGATTTTGAGAGCTGTAACCTGATAAGGATTAACCCGGTGGTAACTTTGGATAGGAAGGGTGTGGCTAGAGAAATAGGTCACTGGAGTGCTTTGGGGGTTTCTATTTTGTCCTTGGTGAGCAGAGTTTTCTCTGCTTCCTGTTTACAGGTCCCAAGCTGCCTTCCTCAGTCACACCCTTCCACCATGATGTTTTGCCTCACCTCAGCCTCAAAGCAATGGAACCAGATGATCATGGACTCTTAAATCATGAGCAATAACTTTTCTCCTCTAAGTTGCTCTTGTTGGGTGTTTTGGTCACAGGCATGCAAAAGCTGACTAAAACACTACTGAACTTTGTAGCTTAGCAACACAGTATGCCATAAGAGTATTTCTCATTTAATCTGTGTTGACTGTCATATTGGAGGCTCCTGTTCACAGTTGCCATCTATCATCACAAGAAAGTATTGTACTGCATATGGAACAAGATGAAAATTCAGAATATGATTTCTACTAAATACATATTCCTTTTGCACTATTGTAAAGTAAAAAAAAAATCATGTCATACCACCCTAAATTTGGGGCCACCAGTATTAAATAATACTATAGATTGCTGATTTCTAAGTACAGAGTTCATTTTAAAAGGGGTTTGAAGCTACTCATTGAAAGAAAAACTTGAAGAGAAAGGTAAAATGTGTTCCTAAAGCCAAAATATTCATAATCATTTTCAGCATAGCCATTGAATCATAAAACTAACTACTTAATATTTAAGGATGAGACCTATTGTTTCTTCTTCACATTTTCCTCAGATTTAAAAACATGTGTATGTGAATTATCACTTATATTTTCATTTATACATAGTAGGTATATTCCTACCACTTTCTTGGTGTGAATCAACAGTTGGTTTTAGAAAGGTTTAGAAAAATCTGTTTGTTTTATTCTTATTGAAGTGTTATGAAAAACAAAGCAGCCTCCCCCCCCCCCCCCCCAAAAAAAAAAAAAAAAAAAAAAAAAGCAAAGAGACCAAACTGTTTGGGAGGAGGGAGGAAAACTAGGCAAGCAGTAACCTCCCAATAAATTCTTTCCCAATACCCATGGGCCCTGCAGGAACAGGGAGATACTGAATGCTGGGCTCTGGACTTTGATCTTCCCTTGGGATCTGGGCTCCCATCTCTCCAAGAATCAATGAGTTTCAACTTTTTTGCAACTGCCTTTCTGAGTTAAAGTTTTAAACTACACAACTAGCCCCTGAAGGTCCAAATGGCACATCCACAGTTTCGAATGATTAAACTACCCTAATTGTACCCTATAAAACTGAAATCCCCTTCTGTAACCCACAGTCATTTTCGCATCCAGAAAATGAGCCCCTGTGATGTCTGAGTCTGTGAATGAATAAACAGCTTCCCTGAATCTGTTGAGGTCTGTATTGGGTCATTTTGCACTTATAAACAGAAAACTACTTTTGATTATTTTTGTTACATTCTTTGTGGAAAGGTTACAGTTTCTTGTGGTTATATTTCTTTATTACTTCTTAAAATTTTTCTTGGAACTTAAAAACAAAATACATTAATGGACTAGGAAAAATTATGGACATTGCAGTTTTAGCTTTATCTCTTTACCTTCTATATCACACAAAAAATACAACCATAAGGCCTATATTGAAAGATACAACAGATTTTTTTTTTTTTTGTGTGTGTGGTATAAATGATTTTTTTACAATGATAACAAATTTTATTACAGAAGATAAAGTTTAATCCTTTGACTCCCACTGGTGCTGATTTCAAGTTTTATTTCTCAGATTGTTATTCAAATGTCAATATTTACATAATTTATATTAACTAATATATACCAATACCTTCACAAATATTAATAAATTAAGATTCCATAATTCTCTTTAAAAAAGTTTTGTGAATAAACCTATCTTATTTCATATTTCTTTAGAATCTTTTTGTTTGCTTGCTTTATTTATTTATTTTCATATTGTGCTGGAGATCTGATTATTAAAGATACCTTTATTACAAAAACTGACCACAGATTATTAGGAAGAATAAATAAAATCTTTGTAATTAGCACTATGATTTGTTTTTAAGCAAGGTGAGCATGTTGGTCAAATGAATGAACTTGTATGGTTTAGATAAATAAAACTTATGCTTTATGCTTTATGATTTCATGCATGAAATCTACTTTAAATTATATATTTTTAAGGCTCTGAAATTCACTCTAGTTTTCCGTTTTATACAGTATTTTGTAACTTACCATCTTTTTGGAAGTTTTGCTGCAAAAATGGTCAGAAACATCACAGATTTCACCTCCAGTTTGTGGTCATGATCTCACTGAAATATTATAAAAAAGAATAAAATATTAATTTAAAATTAATTTGTTTAAAAAATAAACCCTATTATATTGTCTATTGGGGTCAGTGACTAGACGATGTTTTTTTGGAAGAGTAATTCCAAAGTTGAAATTCAAGCAGTCATGGAGACTCAGATTAGAAAGGAAGACAGAAAAAATAATTAGCCTTTTAGATAAAATAGTGTATATTATAGTGTTTCTTCAAAATTATTCACTTTTATTTGCTTAATTTTATACATTAAAAAGTTATGACAGTAAACTAATTTTTACCATACTGAATTAAAAATCTTTCATGTGTTAAACTCATCAAAATATTAATACATTATTTTGAGTAAGTAATGGACACCTGAAAAAATCAAAAATTCCTAAAATGTGGGGAAATGTTATGAAGTCTAACTTTCTTAAAGACAGTTATTTCTTTGCCCTAAGCATTTCATTTGCAGTCCATTAAATCAAATTCTAATGAAATTTAATGAAATCTCTCACACTCATGATTTTTCAACAAATAGAAAATTAATGAAACAGTACAAGAGTTTGTTCTTAGTTTATTTGGTAGTTCTAAATTTTAGTTTTGAGTACATATAGTAGAATACTTTAACACAGGAATTTTTAAGTTGTAAATTCCCAATTCCAGTATATGTCTCTTTCCTGAGTGAAGCAATTTGACTTAGTGGAAAATTCATAATGTGGATAGGCCAATTACAAGAGTCTCATCCTGATGGAATTATTTAACTGCCTGTCCTCCTTTAGGTTTTTCTATGAGAGGACAGTAGAGTGAAGTTGACTCTTGAGGAATAGTCAGTGCAATGCAGAATTCCCACAATGATGGAGCTTGTAAGTGAGAGATGGGGACATGGGTTTGCATAGAGAGCCCTTCTCTGAGTTACTCCAAGATAAGTAGAATAGCAGTTTTCAGGCTGTGCCTAAACCTGAGTTACTCCATTTATAAAGCAGTAGTTTGCCGTAAATTATTGCATTTTGAGTACAAATGCCAAGGAAGAATGATTACATACCTTGTTGGTACAAGTAAACAACCACATCTTCCCAGTATGATCAGATCTCATCAGATGTGAAGTCTTCACTCAAGACCCATAAAAGAAGGAGCCTCCCCAAGACTGAACATAGTAGTGTGCTGACCCTGTCACCTGGTCACCCATCAGGAGGAGCCTTGCCCAGGTAAATTGTCACAGTGACAAACCTCTGACTTACTGTCTTCATTCAGCTTCAGCAGAGTGCAGTTTGTCTTGCCCGTGATGACCACACATGGTTTTCTCCAAGTTGACACCTCAAGCTGACACTCTGGGACTGAAACTTCCTCACTCTGAACTCTTAGCTTTGGTAACTCTGTGGAAGTGGTTCTTTAAAATCCTTATCTGACAACCTACAGTGACTTTTTGACTCTGCATTCATATCTCTCTTTGCCTGTTCTCTTGGCACAGCATCCTGTAACCCTTTCTTAAGTCTTTCTGTGACCTATTCATGCATTATTATGTGAAGTATGATGTGTGACTTCAGTGTTATAGATTTTATAAATTAATATTGAAATAAAAGAACTTGTGTGTGTCCTACTTATGACTGTCAGCTGACCCACAGTATTCTGTGAACTGCCCCTGATGAAAGTGGTGTAGCTTGTGAATTTGTTGTTATTCAATGAATTCTGACATTGTGGAAGGACACAAACATATTTGTTTTGTTAGTGATATAGCTCACTCACCACAGTTTGGAAGAGATAATATGCTACCCACACACCCTTTCTTTTACCTCCTGAGTTTTCAAGTCCTTATCAATAATCATTTCAAGAAGTCATAATTTAGAGCATAAGCTTTAAATTCAGACATACTGAATCTTTAGCCCAACTCTGTACTTCTTAGGGAAGGCCATGGCTAAATTGCTTAACTTCCCTCTTAGAGCTGATGTGAAAATTAAAATAGATAAGAAACTGTGAAGTGATTTAGGTTCATAGTGTGTTTCTCAGAAACAGACCCTGAGGGGAAGATTTGTATGCAAGTGATAATATTGAGAAGTTATTCCTAGATAAAGCAAGTGTGGGTGGGGGTTCAGGGAAGAAACCAAAGATACAACTTCCTGTAAAATTCCACTGAAGGGAGCTTCTGCCCAATCTCATAAGCCAGGCCATGGTGTAAATGTCATCCTAGAGTCATCCTGGTCTAGGCACAGGAGCTGGGGCTGCATGACCCTGCCTGGTTCAGTCACTGTCTTTTGCTTTGGGGTGAGGAGGACTTCCGGTTCTCTCCACAGAGACAAAGCAGCTCTGGGTGTTCCATGGCAGGCCTGCAAACAGAGGCTGGGATGGGAATAGAGGACAGGGCATTTGTGATCCTAGGGGATCCAGGTGGAACACCAACAATGTCTGTTGGAGGTACAACAGTAGCAGGTACAATTCTATGTGGTCTTGGCAGGTAGGAAGCTCCCAATATGTGTTAGCTCTTACTGTTGCTACATTATCTCTCCCTCCCATTTATT